TGTTTAAATGGAAAAGTGAAGCGTACAGATCATTGATGTCTCTCCAAGCGCAGAGCTCCTGTTTTGAATGCTGTGTGTTTCTGTCCACGTGACTGAATGCATATCTGTCATTTGGTGGCTAGCTGTATTAAGCCACACTCATCAAGGTGGACAACTGGGCCTAAGTGTCACGTGTAAGCCCTATAGTACCACTGTGACACCAAAACTAATGGGGAAAGGCAGCATTTTTGTCGGTTTCATCACTCCAACCTCATTCTCACACATCCTAATCTGGGCAACAAACAAAAAATCCATAAAAGAGGAAGAGGAAAATATTGTTCAGAGTCAGAACAGACATACCTCAGTGTGTTCAGGGTTCTTAGTTCCCACCATCCATCACCAGAGAAACAACTATTCCTGTTTTATCAGTCTGGCAATTTTGTAAGTGCTGTAGGACTGTGCAGGCTTAGTAAGGATCTGGTAGACAGTGATTTATGGAAGGAGATTAAAATAACTTAATATTTATCACTTGGCCAAACGGCAGCTAGCTAAAAAGGGATATGGCTTTCATGCAAAAGGAGCCAAGTACTGCACGCACCAAAAATGGAAAGATACAAAACAATGCAATAGCAAGAAGTAATAGGATGGCTTGACATCAGATAGGAGCGCTTGCGAGTCCTTTGTTCAAAAGCACAAGGGAAGGCGAAGGGCTAGACAAAAATGCCAAAGATGTGTCTGGGTGCCTAAATCACACTGCACCACAGTCTTACTTGATTTATATCCTGCTCTTTGTTCAAACACTCAAGGCAGGATACGTAATGTTCCCTGCTTCTATTTTTCTAGTCCTAGTCCTTAATTACTACACCATACTGGCTTTGGATAGGAACCCACCCTTGTGGTTAGCAAACCATGGGGACAGTTTAGCATGTTGGTTGTGGGGGGGGGCTTCTCTGATAAACGGGGCATAAACATGCTTGATGCCTTGTTCAGACGAGGCTCATACATCAGATGGAGCCTTGCAGACTTTGCAATACGGTTGCTTGCAGTGCATTCAGCTTAGAGAG